AAAAAAAAAAAAAAAAAAGAAAAAGAAAAAGAAAAAGAAAAAGAGGGAGGGTGATTCTGGTCAAAGTTACCATTTTTTCTCTTTTGCACTGAAGTGGGTATCTAGCATTAGTTTTAAAGAGAAAGAATGAAATTCATCCTCTGCAAAGAATGGCCAAGATTGGCGCAGGGGTGTCAAAGAAATCAAGATGGCAATTGTAATGGTGTGTCCAAAGCCCCACTTCTTGTCTAGGGGCATTTACAATGCCTGCAGGTACAAACTGATGCCATATCAAAGGTACTGATAACACAGCATTAAAGAATCACAAATGTCTCTAATAAAATACCCTTCTCAAACATTTATTTTTAATTAAACGGTGGCTGCAATTAAAAAGCCAGATTAACCTATTCATCCTATTTTGCAAAGATCACTCTTGCACTTTAAGGTCATTTGTTTTATTGAATTAGAACCCTAACAAGGAATAATGTATGCTTCCCATTATTTTTTTCCCTTCTTGTATGAGACCAGCTGGTTCCCCCATTAACGTTTCTAAAGTCCTGGGCCTCATCAAGATTTCCTGGAGGGTAATTCTGAGATGGGACCATATTTCACCACTAAGCTCTAGGGGAAACTGGTAAAAATCTTTAGCTGCAGCCACTGCTACTTTGATAAAACGCTCCCAGAGAACCGGCCTGCGGGCTTCAGCGAGAGGTGGAGGTAAGCCCAGTGCCAACACAGCTACCCGCAGGCCCTCTACTCACTTGGCCCAGCCTTCCTCCTGAAGGCCTTGCGAAGGGCCAGCAGCTTCCAATGCCAACTGCAGAGTAGGCACTGTGTCTCCAAGAGCCCTCGTCCCTCCACTTCCTCCAGTTCTGCCACCGCCCTGAGCCACACAGCCACCACTTTTGCCCGGGGAACTGCCACTGCCACCTTGCCATCCTGCTGCGCTGTCCAGTCTGTGGGCTATCGCTCCTCGGGCCAGCAATGGAGATGGGCTCTACCGCCTGGACCCTGCCCTGCCACCCTCACCCAGCGCCTGGATTCTGGGCTAACAGGGGGAGGAAAAAGGTGAAGGTCAGCTAGAGGTGGCGGCAGAGTGCATGGCGGCCAAAAGGGCAGAGATGGGGGGGAGATAGGCGGGAGGGGAACTGAAGCAGAGGCAGTTCGCACAGGGCAGAAGCGTGAGGTCCTCGCCTAATGACCACACAGTCCTTGCCTCACAACCCTAACCGGGACTGTTTAGTGACCACTTCGCTTAGCAACAGAAATTCCGGTCCCAATTAGGGTTCTAACCCAAGGACAACTGTATTTATCCTCTTCCCCTCCGGATTCTTAATATTCTAATGAGTATCATGGCAACATTTGGACAAAGCAAACCCTGAAATAAAATTTTGTTCATTTTTTCTGCTACAAATACAATGCATTCCTAATGAGGGTGTGAGATACTGAAGCCCTCAAAGAAAAACCAAAGGGCTTGTTCTCTCAGTGGGGCACGGGAAAATTACATTATAATTCCCATTAGCATTGATAGAAATTACTCATGTAAATCTACCTTATGTACAATAAATGGAAAAAACAAGCCACTAATATTTTAAATCAAAAGCAGGGCTCTGTTAACATAATACATATTTATGAACATTTTTTTTTTAAAAAATCTTTGTTCGGAACAAGAAGATTGGAGCAGACCACATTACCTCAACTTCAAGTTACTGTAATATCAAGTTCACCATTTATGACAATGAAAGTCATAAATTGAATTTTTTTTTAAGGCACCAATACATGTAATTAAATATTAAGAAGCAATGATAGTAAGGTCTCCCCCTCATTGTAAAGGGAAACCAGTATGAACTGGACTCCGTCCCAGCCACACACTGGAAGCATTGCCAGTGGGGCCTGCCAGGATGGGGGTTGTCAGATTCAAAGTGGCAGCTGGAACTGTGCAAAGTCCCTCCCATTTTTAATGTGCAGGGAGGCACCAATTGTGTTGTCAGAGTTGTCATCTTGAGCTTTTCAACCCCGCTGTGGATGTACCATGGCGAGGTTCGTACAACCCCCCTGAGTATTCTGTAATATTCCATCTATTGTTGATCCTCATAGGTTGTTTCAGACAACAAGTCAACTATGTGGGCATCATAACTTTATTTCTAATATTAATAAGGAAAATCATCCAAGAATAGTACCATCATTAAACATGAAGTAACCTGACACAGCTTGCATCTTGTCTATTAAACAAACAAACAGTGAAATAGCTACTGTAGCTCTTTTCCTGTGAGACAGATTAGCCATGGTCTAGACCAGTGTTTCTCAGCTTCAGGAACTTTAAGATGCATGGACTTCAACTCCCAGAATTCCCCAGCCAGGAATTCTGGGAGTTGAGGTCCACACATCTTAAAGTTCCTGGGGTTGAGAACCACTGGTCTAGAACACAGATGGGCAATGAATACATTGTGTGACACCTTAGGTGGTTCTCCGTAAGGTTGTAAGCCTAAACCCCTTTCTTGATGTCCAGCTGACTAATGGGAAACAGATGTTTCACAATCCACCCCCTACTTAATAAACACTATACTGTATTGTCAATACCATACAGCCCCACACAGAATGGCTTACATGTGCAATTCTATGATTTTCATAACCAACAGTGAGAGGGACAAAGCTTTTATGTAGCCTTTACACATTGCACAAAACAACCATTTGTGGTTTGTTGAATAAGCCACATTAGCACTCTGCCATGAATCATGGGTTAGAAAGCACAACGGCTAGGTTCACACAATAGGCTAAGCCAAAACCAAATAAAACATATTATGGCATCCAACCACAGTTATAACTGTAGTGTAACTCTATGTCGGACGAGCATTCCAACAATCACAAAAAATGAAGTCGGAAGGTTCCGCCCTAAGATGTCATTTATTTTAATGGGATTCCATCTCCATGAAGCATTTTCCTCCTGTTCAAGATTAATTATTTCATAGCACACTTAAAATACAATCTATGGCTCTACAGTGTACATTAGTGTGCTGTCAAATTTCACAATAATTTATTCCAACTTTTATTGGTCTGGGGCTATAAATAAGTACTTTTAGGCATCTTTGAAGACATCTCAGTCTTAAGACAGTGATTCTCAAACTATGCGATATGGCAGCCTCCTAACAAGAGAGATGAATGTATACGTCCCCTTCCATAAATAAAGCAAACCATTTCATTGGTGTTAGGGCTAGGCAAGAAATAATTATACCACTTTTACTCATTTACCATTTAATCTATATGTCACAGGGGCACTCAACACTGTGGTAGAGGAGCTGCCCCACTGCAGGCTTGCCCACACCAAAGAAGGAACAAAGCCCACTGCAAATTTGGACAGTGTTCCCACGTTGCCTGTGACCCCCGTCCCGGTTGCTCATGTCTCCCTGGGGAGACCAAACCCACAATTTAAGAACTCATAGCTTAATGACTAATTCATCACTTGATTCTATTCTAGAGCAGAAACAGAGACAGAAGCTAAGGCACCCTGGTTGGATCAGACATCACCTACATCACCTTCTAGGGTTGTTCTAAGAATTGGTCACCTAATGCGAAGAGAGGACTCTTTGGAAAAGACCCCGATGCTGGGAAAGATTGA